ATTACTATTATCCTGGATCCGCTAACGTCGACGTTAACGCGATATTTCTAGACCGGATTTAACGGTGTGACCGGGCGAGATAGGGGCCCGAGAGCGCGACGGCCGGAGAGGAAGGGAGATGGGGGGGGAGGGGGAGGGTAGGGTCGGCAAAGAGAGAGAAAAAAAAGGAAACGCATACACGACGCGACGATGCGCGTGTGGAGAAAAGGATATTGCGCCGGACCGAACCGCAATCTACCGGCCATTATTTTTGCCCCATCCTGCGTGTGTACGTGTGCGTACGTGTACGCGAGCGCGCGCCCGCGCGCGCGTTCTCGTTCCGTTTACCCGTTCGATCTAATTTCTCGCGGAGGCAAATGATCTCCGGCGGCCGGCGCGGAAGCCGGGGGCCTCTTCATCTTAAGAGAGCGCTCTCGCTTACTTAGAGCCGGCCCTCCGCGATAGGAGCCCGTTCGCCAAGTCGACGAGTCGTAAACCGACATTCTCCGGAAGACCTCGCGCGCTGAAACCAAAAATCATCGGAGCAGGTCCGCGCGGCGGCAGATCGGCGAGAAAAGTCCGCGGTGATTAGCCGGCGCTAGGCGTTAACGTTGCGCGAAGCAGGTTTGGCGGGGTCTCGCGGGGCGCGGGGGGAGGAGGCGAGACAGATAGATAGATGGACGTATAGATAGAGAGGGAGAAAGCGCGCGAGAGAGCGAGAGCTCTCGCAGGGGGACGAGGATGAGAGGAGCGAGAGAGAGGAGGAGAGGAGTGGTCCCGGCAAACAAGAAGCGAGCCGCAATGCATTCGCTCTACTCGCTAGATATAAATACGCGACAGAGGGCAAGGAACCAACCACGCCTGCACCGGCAGCTACTGCCTAACGACACCGACACGCACACATGCAGCCGCCTCATTGTGATAAAGCGAAAGAAGGAACGGAGGTAGACAGAGAGAGGGAGTGAGAAAGGGAGAACGAAAGAAGGAAACGGCGAGAGAGAAGAGGATACGAGAGAAAGAGAGAGAGAGAGAGGGAGAGACAGGGAGAAAGAAAGAGAGGCGCGCAAGCTGCTGCTGCTGCTGCGAGTTCGTTCATGCGCCCATCCGTGCGCTGCGAGTTGTGGACGAATGTGGTCGGGTCTTTCTCTTTCTTTGTCTCTCTCTCTCTTTCTCTTTCTCTCTCGAAGACACGCGGCCAAATATTGCATCGCCGGATAAATATAGGCAGTCGCGCACTGCGCGGCTGCACCAGCCCTAACGCGTACTTTTCTCCACAGCTCGCGTCGTTCGCTTTCGGGCCGGCTACTACTGTACACATCGAGAGAGAAGGAAAGAGAGAAGGAGAAAGAGAGAGAGATGCGACTGCGGCATTCCTCTCCCGCGGCTCTCTTTCCGCGCCGTGCCGCGCGAAACGATCGTTAAATCCGTTCTTCGTTCGTGGCCGAGAACTTGGCGATAACGATCTCGAAGTCTGCGTACGGTACGCGACGTTTTCTTTTCTCCCTCCCTCTCTATCTATCTTTTTTTTTTATCGAAAATCGGTACTATGTTCCCTTCGGGCCTCGAGCAGGATCCGTTTCTACATCCGGGCAAGCATGTGTTACGCTTCTCCATAAAAATTCCGAAGATAAATAGAATTATAATACCGCTATCCTTCCATTTTATTCCATGAAAGAGATAGACGATATTATCGAGGAAAATTGATAGGGCAACTGTTCTCGAGATGTTGCTGCCTCCGCAAAGTGAATCACAAGCCCGCTTTATCTTTCACGAGACCGAATTCGAGGTAGCACGATATCGTGCGTGATTCGCGAGCTGGAGTAAAATTTAAATAGACAATACATTCGATGCACTCCGCGATGCATTTTCGCGACGGGATCATTTATAGAAATTTATCACGAGGCGCGATCGCGCGAATCCCTCGCGATCCCGCGTCGTTTTATGGCTCATGCGGTGTCGAGCGGTTATCTCGCGACTCGTTGCAGCGAATACGATAAGTTGCAATCGGGTCAGTACAACGATGCATTGTAAAGTGTATCGTCGACTCGTGAATCTTCTCTCAATTCTTTCGAAGCTAACGCGACCAGCTCAAATATCCTCAACGCGTCCCGAATGTCTCGTTTACGTAGCTTACGTAAGGGAACATTGTCGTCTTCCGTCAATAATCGACGATGTTCAAACATCCCGTCGCACGGAAAAAAAAAAAACATTCTCGAATATATTTTTCTCGACCTAGCAAAATTGCGAATACAAGCCGGGAGAGAGATCTATTGCGAGAGAAATTTGACAAGAGGCCGACGTTGTCATTCGCGTTATCGCGAGCGCTTTCTCATCCGACTTATCTCGCTCGTCGATTGCGCACGCTACGCGCATCATCGACAGAGAAATGATCCTCGCGAATTGATCATTTAATAAAGTATAGCAAATTCTTCCCGTCTTTCGGCATCAAATTGCTGGAATTGACGGGGACTGTTGGATTCGGAGGATGAACGCGCGAGAGAGAAGAGATAGAAAGAAGACGAATCTCCTTCTCGTAACGAACGGTTTACGAGGCGAAGCGTCGTATAATCGGACGCGTCGCGTCTCCTCCCGCCTCTTACGAGCGCAAAGTCCGCCGTTCTCGCGGGGCGCCGGCTTTGTTTTCGCGGCGCTTTGAGCGCGCGCCGCGAGAACGAGCACGTGGCCGCGGCGAGGCCGCGGGGGCAAACAGTCAGTGAAAATCATCGGGTGCGCGGACATTGGATGGCGGGAAACGTGCGTGATAGCGCGCGCGGCCGCGGAGGGAGGCCCTAATCAACCTGGCGCGTGAATCTAACCCCACGCGAGAAACAGGGGTGGGAGAGACGGTCGGAGGAGATCCCCGAGGCGGAGGGCGGGGGAGGAGGGCGGGGGAGGGGGGAAGCAGAAGACGCGACGGTGCGCTCCTCTCGCCGCGACGATCGGCGGCGAGACCGGGGACAGAGAGCGTAGACGGTTATCGCGGAAGTTCGGCAATTATAGGTGCCGAGTCGTCCTTTTTTTCCACTCGCTCTCTCTCTCTCTCTCTCTTTCTCTCTCTCTCTCTTTCTTTCTTCCTCCGTTTTTTTTCTTTCTCTTTTTTTTTCGCCGAGTGATATTGATTTGGGAGAGGCAGTTCGTATTCGCGGCACGAGCGTACCTTGTGACTCGCGGAGGCGATGCCGCCGCCAGCCAGCGCGATGCATCACGGCGCAGCGCGCATTGAGGGGTACGCGTCGCTGCCGAGAGTGAGAGAGGATCGCGGTGGCGAAGATGGGGTCGAGGGGGAGACGAACGGACGGAGAGAGAACGAGCGAGCGGGCGAGAGAGAGAGGCTAGATGCGATCGGCGGGTTCCCCGCCGCGCACCGGTCGTTCCCCTACGCCGAAAGGCCGCCCCACCGCGTGGACCGTCATCCCCTGACGACGCGGTATCAAACCCCTTCCACCGGTTCAACGAACATAACTTCCTCGCTTCACCTCCTCCCGACCCACCCCCTCCCGCCGTCGGTCCTCGCCGGCCGTCTCGTTCTCCACCATCGCCACCACCATCAGCCTCCTCTCGCCAGGAACGAGCGCTAAATCTCGGCAGCCCCGGGTCTTCTCCGATCCGAGATGACAAAATTCGACGATTCGGTTTTTCGAATCGAAAAATCGAATCGTCGATAATGATCGGCGACATCCGAGAATCGAGACTCGATCGAGCGTCACGTCCAGAATCTCGAAGGCGTCGGATTATGCGAATGAAATAAATTTTCCGAGAAATGTAAATCTTTGATGAGGATTGGCTACGATCATCGTCGATTTTCCGGAGCAACTCTCAATTATGAATTAAATTAAATTTGAAATCTTAACGTTCCCCCTCCGAATCCTTCCTCGTGCTGTCTTCCAATTTCCCGCTTCGCAACACGACGCATCTAAATAAGTCTCGATCTGAAGAATCCTTTCAGGAAATCGCGCGATTCTCTCCGAAAAAGGATGCCAATCACCGATAAATTATTCGACAATAAGATCGCGAACCGAAGAAACGTGCGACAATCGCGAGCGTCGTCTCATCTCGCTCCGTATTGTCAGACATTAGGCCCGATCGCGGCGTGTGTCACGTGTCACTTTGTGACAGACTCCGGCGACTCGAGTGTCCTTGGACGAGTAACTCGGTCCCCTCCACCCTCCGGTCCCCGATACGTATTTTGACGGACCGTGCGGGGGGAGCGATGTTGCCCCCGCGGATGCATCCACCCCTGCGACCGTCGCTACCGTCGCTGCCGCCGCCGCCGCCACCGCCGCCGCCACCGGCACCTTCTCCCCGCTCTCGCTCTCCTCTCTTTACCCGATGTTCCCTATACCATCCCAAACCCGAACCAGTCCAGAAATCCCCCACTCTGATCGCGTGTGCACCGCGACGACGGAAGCGCGGCAACGCCGCAGAGCGCTCGCCAGTGTCTCGGTCTTGGCGAGTTACTCGGGGGGCTCAGGCCGAGTCTACCGAGATTGTGTCTACCGGCGCGGGTAACCCGAAAGCGAGTGTGGCGAGGATTAAAGTCGCGGGCCGCTCTACGGCATGCGAGACCGTCTCGCTGCTGTCTGAAGGCCGTACGGGAACGCACGAGGGACGGCGCGCCAACGATAAGAAAAGTTTCACGGCCGCGGCGGATCTAGAGGAGGAGGCCGACGACGACGACGACGACGACGACGGCGACGGCGGCGACGACGACGACGGTGACAGCGACGGCGACGACGACGACGACGACGACAGCGACGACGAGGACAAGGACGAGGACGAGGACGAGAACGAGGACAAGGACGAGGACCCGGAGAAGGACGTAGAGGAAACGGTGGAGGAGAAAAGGAGACGGGCGCAGCGGCGAGAGGAAAAAGAGGAGAACGCATCGTCGTCGCGCGGTAGACGTAGGGAAGAGGAGAGACAGGCCGACGAGACGGGCGCCGCGCGCTCGCACGTTGCCGCGCCGCGCATCGCTATATCGCGCTACACGCGCGTCGTGATCCGCGTAATACGCGCGTACGCCCCGCGTGAAGCGCGCGCGTATACGCGAGCCATACATATTTATATGAATACACGGTGACCCGCGCGCGGAGATAATACAGTGTAAATGGCGCTCTCGGCGCAGAACCAGTCGACGTCGTACGTGAACTTGTATTACTCGATCGTCCAGCGCGCGGCGACGCGCTACTTTAAGGAATACTACAACTCCGGTGAGTACCTGGCACCCCGCGCGTGTCGTCAACACGCACGCACCACGCACACGTACACGTACGGGAGGAGGCGCGGGTAGCGCTCGTTTTTACCTTCTCCTCCTCCCTCGCGAACGTTCGCGTCAGTCACCGCGTGCCGGTGATTCCACCTGCGCGTCCACGACCACGTTTTGCCGAAACGTCACGACGTCATCGCGCGTCGCGCCGCACCGTGATACACGCGGCTTCGAGTTTTCCCGCCGGTCCCCCTTCTCGCTTTCCCCCCTCGCGCGCCCGACGCGAGTCTGCCTTTCTCACGAGTCCCTCATTCAGAAAACCCACTCGAACCGCCGCGAAATTTTCAGTCATTTCGCTCTCCCCTCCCGTCGACGCTGCGGACACGTGAAAAATGATTTCAATCACGTGACACGTGATGGAAGATAGCGAGATATACATCTTGTTGTGTTTATAACTTTGAGAAGAGGCTACGAAGACATTGGAATTACATCGTTTTCCATCTCGCCGTGTCTCTCATCCGAGTACTTTCTCTCTTCTCTTTCTCTCTCTCTCTCTCTCTTTCTCTTTCTCTCGTCCCCTCCCTCTATCTCATGCACGCGTATGCACGTATACATACCAGGACAGTTACACGGACGCACTGTAACGCGCCGGCGACCACTACTGGTAGAAGTGCTCTTCCGACTTGCGATTAACAACGCGCCGCTGGCCAGACACGTGTCTCGTACGAAACTCGTGTGTGTCTGCGGTCGAACTCGGCAAAGCACGCTCAAACGAGAGAACAGTGTTTAACGTTGGGAGAACGAAAGCGAAAGAGAGAGAGAGAGGGAGACGAGAAAAGAAAGAGCGAGAGGTGCGCAGGGTGAAATACCGAGGGGAAACGGAGGGTACCGCTGGCCGTCGGTCACCTCATGAATGTGTTGCACGAAGCTCCTTGCGTAGCGCGACACATACAGGGTGAGAATAGTCGAGTATCGGTTGCCGCGCGAGGCGGAAAAATGTGTGTTTGCGAGGAGGCGAGATCGAGAAAGGAGGATGTTTACTGCAAATTCCCCCCGAGAGACTACCGGCAAAATAATGTAGCGAAAGTACGAATTGGAACGACGAGGGAGAACGTGGATAAGCGAGCCGGCTTATATCGTATCGTGATGCGCGAATAATTGGGGACAAAATATAAGAATCGAGATTAATTTAAATTAATTTTAATATTAATAATTAAATATAGAAATTTGTTCTTATTTTTATCAATAATTGAATGGACTTTTTTTATAACAGCGATAAGCTTTATTAGTTAGGAAACTGAATCTTGGAATGATGAAATCTTTTTATCATGATAGATGAGAGAGAGAGAGAGAGAGAATATTTAGAAATTGAAACAGTTGTAAAGAAAATATGTAAAATAGCGCAGTGCGCTGAGACTAATGTGCATAGAAAGCACTTTATAAACTTATCGTAATATCTAGATCATGTTTCGACGATAAAATCATTTAAAAAAGAGACTAAAAAGAAAAAATAATAAAAAGAGAAAAAATGCGCGCTTTTCATTATAATTGACCTTTCATTGCAAATGTATAAACTTAATCGCTGCGATATAAATTAAATGATATTAAATATGCCGATAAGTATGCATGTAATTTGAAGGAAAAAATAAAAAAAAATACGAGATGTATGATTTACACATAAGTACATATTTATTGAATGCGTTGCGTATATTAAATATTATCAATTCTTGAAAAAGTTTGTCGGTTATTTTGAACGATATAAATTATTTTAGATGTAACTAGTAAATAATTTTAATTTTAAATTTTGACTTACACCAATTCATACATCATAAATTACGCTAAAAGCCATTATATAATAAAGTTAAAATAATATCGCGTCACAAATTTTGGACATGCTAATTATGTATTTGCAATATTGTTCACGGGTAATGATAAGTGATCATTGCTCATCATAATTGATCCATACCTTCTAATTACTGGAAACCGAATTAATTTGTCGTTCGTCATAATTACGAGTTATATTTTTCAGTTTAACAATTAGCTGCAATTTAGTTTAACAATTAATTGACAATTGCTATTAATGCCGTCCTTTTTTACTCGATATCAGTTCGAGTTAATGTGCAAATTACGGTCAAGAGTTTATGTAATTGCGATAATATACATCGCATTTCGGAAAGTGTTCCTCTTTTCAAGCGGAGCAAGAAGGCACGCAGGGAGAGGGAAAAGAGGAGAGAAAAAATTAACTAGCAATTGTTATTAACGCCATTTCTTATACTCGATATCAGCTCGAGTTAATGTGTAAATTACGGTCAAGAGTTTATGTAATTGCGATAATATATATCGCGCATTTCGGAAAGTGTTCCTCTTCCCAAGCGCGGCAAAAAAGGCGCGCAGGGAGGAAGGAAAGAGGAGAGAAAAAAAGAGAGAGAGAGAAAGAGTTACGTGATGATAATATCGACGACGCAATATTCGCCGGCGCGTTTGGGTCATCTAATCGGTTCTGGTAACGACCAAAGTGACGAAACGCGCGGAGCGATAGTTTCAAGGAGGAATCATCCTCTCGTCCGACGGTTCCTATGACTTTCTCGCAGATTTGCATTATCCGAAGCGATGAGAATCCGAAGAGAGATAATCCGATTCTCGTTTCGTCCTTCGGTTCGACGAAATTACGTACAAAGTGTGCGGGTGTGCATGTATATTGCATCGAGATTCCCTGCACATATTTTTCACTGATACATCGACCAGTTTAGAGTCGACTTTTCCTTGGCGAGAACTCGACGCTGCGTCTGTCTCTTTAGTTAACTTTTTAAGATACAATCTTAGATATCTTTGAAACTAATCCTTGAATTAAATTTCCACATGAGTTCATTTTAAAGTATGATTTATTAATATTTTCTCGCGACTGATAATTGCGAGTTGAAATCTCTTGAAGTTGAATATCACAAACGGCATCTTCTGAAAATAGCAAAAAAATGCGATTTTCCCGAATCGTGATCGAATCAATTTTTTCTTCCACAAGACATAAAGTTGATGGACGGAATGCATAATTTATCGATGTAGGACTTTTGCCGAGCGAGTTGCGGCAAAATGATGTATCCCTCTTGCAGCCGCGCACTTGCTAAACTCTGATCGACGATCAAGCTGCCCGTTCCACGATCGCGAGGCGCGCTGTGTCGCCTGGTCAAGGTGAGCGTCGGCCGAGGACTCTCGCGATCGTGCTCTTTGTGACCGAGAAACAACGCCGGCAATCGTGAGCGAGCGCGAGAATGCGAACGACAACATAGGAAAAGCTATAGGGAACAATCGCGATTGTCGCTCGCGAAAGCAAAGCGAACGATATCGATCATCTTCGATGGAATCCGTCAACTTTTATTCATTATTTTCGCTATTTATTAATTCCGTTGAGGATAGAAGGGATAGAAGGGATAAAATTTGAATCGTCGGAAAAAGAAGGAGAGGACGCAAATTCGTCTCGTAAGAGAAATTCGTCTTCGTAATTTAATTTCCCGCGAATTTTCCGTTCGATATAAATGCGCGCCTGCAAACACGCCCTGTCCTAAGAGAGTAGTCGCTGCACCATCGGTCGGATACGATTTCAAAGACACGACGAGGGTCCCTCGCGCTCGGTTATATTTGTGCACAACTGCGAGATATATAGACTGTGCTGGAGAGTCGCGCGCATTTTGCTGGAAGGAGACGGATTGCCTATTTAGATATGCAGCTCCGATAAGAATGCTCCTGGTGAAAATTTAGTACGTGTCGGACCGCATGCATCGAATCAACTTTATGTATTTTCAACATTTCTGGAATACAGAAGCTTCTTGATTTATAATGTTCAATTATTGCGTGACTCGTCGAAAAGAATTTTTTTTCCCCCAGTATTTTCGATTCCAAGATTTTTAGATTCGGCGATCGTTGAGAAAGAAAAAAAGTCCTGAATTTATGAGTCTTCATATCTAGATAAGTATTTCGCATTTGTGGTTTTATTGGCCGTAATATGAATTTTTAATAATATTCGTAATTTCGATAATATTCGTTGAAATGTGGAATGACGATCCAAATATTTTCCATTGTTTGCAACGCATAAGAAACAATTCCAAGTTTTTTTTTTTTTATAATTACAGCGAGACGTATGTATTTAATTATCGGAGGGATTGAGGCGTTAGATCGATAATAAAACGCTAATAAATGGCAGGATTAATGCGAAAAAAAGCTTTTAGCGAGTATAAATCGCGATACATCACGCGCAGCGTCGATAATAATTGTTATAATTGTCTTGATAATTGCATGAATACTACTCGTGCGATACATCCGCGGTTAAAACCGCGAGCATAATCATCGATTATATTCGCGCAGCGTGCTTTATGCCGAGGAAATCGGCGTGCGTTCACGATTATATTAAACGAATCGTAAAACAATTAACGAAGTGCGGCGAATTATTGCCGATAATTATTTTTATTATAACATAAACACGGCGGATTGAAATCGTATTAAAATGCGACGCGATGTTTCACAAGAGCAATCGCGTCGCACACAGTTTGAAACTTTGCGAGCAGTTTTTTCTCTATCAAAATTCACGTTTTTTGTCAGTCGCGTGTTTCCTTTCTGGACAACGTGTATCGTTGAATGGACATTGTCACTTTTGATGCGTCAGATGTAATCCCGCGCAAAGTCTTGGCATTTACGTCGAGTTACGACGTGATGCCTCTCCTAAGATTTCTCTCGAACGGGTTTTACATAAAGTGCAAGTTGTAAAGCCTGTAAATATTTGTGCGCGTCTGCGTGAGCCAATGTCACGTTTTAACTGTTGGGAGTTTGCTGTCGGGATTCAACCTTGACTTAAATTCTCAAAAGCGGTCGGCTTCTCTGTATATTCGAGCGAGGGTTGGAAATTGAGCATAAAATATCTCAATCGAGATCGTTTCTTTTTCACTTACCAAAGGTCTCTTCTCGTCGGTCACGAGATAATCATACGAACGTGCGATTGAAAGTGTCAGCGATATG